TGAGAGAGAGAGAGAGAGAGAGAGAGAGAGAGAGAGAGAGAGAGAGAGAGAGAGAGAGAGATCTCAGTTAGGAATAAGTCATCTTGACATGACGTGTTTATGCTCTCAGCTGACAAAAGTGACCTGTAGCTCCAGACCTATGTTTATCGTCTCTGTCAGGGCAAGGCCATATCATCTGAGCGTCTGGTTCGTTTTCGAAGAAACCAGACCCTCTCTCAGAGCGGCCTTGGGAGAAAACGTGTTTTTGTCGTGAGTCTTGATATCCTGTAGTTCCAGGATCCGTGTGAGTTGGGCAAGAGAGCTAAGTGTCATGGGAATTCCTTCCTTTAGCAGTGCCTTTTTGCACTTGAGTTGAATTGCTGGTGTCGCTTTCTTTTCTTTCTTTTTTTTTTCCTTTCTTTTTAACATCTACTCACAGTCAGTAGATAGTATGTATACGCGTACGCGACACAATTACACTATTGGACGTTGTGCACGTTTTTATATATTCCCAACTCCATAGAAGCTTTTCTTCATTTTGGCATGATTGAAATTTAAAACCAGAGTAATAAAAAACGCAGTTTTCAGAAATTAAAAAATATAATATACTTTGAAGAAACCTCCCCCTCCCCCGCTAAACGATACAATTTTGTGTAAACTAACGATCGTCACATCTGTACAAGACCTCTATAACATTCCTTACATTCCACGTAGAATGGGTGGGGAGGGGGGGGGGATTAACAGTCTAAACCCACAATTTCAGCCGTATTATAATATAACCTAATCATCAGCTTTCTTTTCCACTTCCTGTCCTACCCCCTCACCTACTTTGCCCCCCTCCTCTGGGCTTCTGACTTTTTCTGCCGCCTTTCTGCTGCTACTCCTTGGCTCTTTCTTACTGCTTTCAGCCACATCCCTGGTCTTGGTAAGATCTAACACCTAGACTTCTTGGATGAGATTTCTCAGAGGTCCCGTGTGCAAGGTGCGCTCGTTAAAGTCGCCTTGGTGGTCTAAAATCGACAAAAGTAGGCTTTGGCCGCCACCCGGGCAAAATTCAAAATGTTCGACCAAACTGAAAATGTTTAATGTATCCCGCGCGCTCATATGACCTGATGCAGTTGCTAGGGTTGTAAAAAAACAACAACTACAAAATACAACAAAACAAACAAACAAACGAACAAACAGGTCCGTCTTAGCGGGACACGATAGGAGTAGGAACTTTTGTTTCTCTAAGAATGTATTCACGGTTGTGGCAAACGCGCCATAGATGTTGTTGGTGGTGGTGGTGGAGGTGTTTTTGTTTTCAAATCCCTTTAGCTGCGAGTATTTCGCTCGATCTTGGCAGCGCAATGCCTCCCTCAATTAGTAACCACATGTCATTGTCATCTGGTCAACGCCAGACTATACGCGCCATAGATAGATGCACAGATAGATTGCTAGAAGAAGAAACGTTCCCCGTTGTTTTGCCTTAGTCCAGATTGGACAATCTTGAATTTATTGGCCCTTGTACAAAGAATTAACTTCATTTAATACACGATTTTAGCTTAGATCTAATATGTTATAGCTGTTGTTGACGAGGGGTACTATTTTCAAGTTTTATCTTCCTCACTGGTGGATTCTGCAGGCACTTGAACCTCAGACACTCAGACTGATTTTTTTCGATTCTACATTTTCAATCTAGCATCTGCGTTTGTCGCGGCCGCGATCCACCAGCCGCGATTTTTGGCATTTTCTGGTCCGCAAATTTTGCGTTTTTCAAAAAAAAAAAAAAAAAAAAGAACCGTGCCCCCCCCCCCCCCCCCCACGGTCGGGGAATAAAAGTCAACTCCCCCCAAAAAAAACAACAAGCAAAACCAAAACAATAAACTAACAAAACAAAACAACGAACAAACAAACCAAAAGCAAAAGAAAAAGAAACCGAACCTCTTTACTTTTAGAAAGAAAGTATTTTCACTTCAGCTTCACTTCGTCTCTTACTTACTTGTTAACACCGCCTTGATTTGTTATTTTCATGTGAAGAATATAAGTACATTACATATTTTTTGTATTGATGTTTCTCTTTAATTTTTCCCTCTTTGTTGCTTTTTAATTTGTTGTTGATGTGTTATTTTTTTTTCTTGTTATTCGTTTTGATGTGTTATTTTTGCTATTTAAAAAACATTTGGGGGGTGGGGGGTGGGGGGTTATATAACGTAAGGTCATTTAATTTGATTTTGTTCCTACCTTTTTATTATTATTATAAGATATCTATATCTATATCTATATCTATCTATCTATATCTATCTATCTATCTATCTATCTATCTATCTATCTATCTATCTATCTATCTATCTATCTATCTATCTATCTATCTATATATCTATCTATCTATCTATCTATCTATCTATCTATCTATCTATCTATATGTATATATATATATATATATATGTATATATATATATATATATCGTCTTATGTTAGAGCGTGTCTCCAACAAAACCGAATAAGCGGTCATATGACCTTAGGCAGTTGCGAGCGCCGTGAAACCTTACTTTTGAAAAAAAAAAACCCGAATACTGACGCTGGCAGGCCCCTTGTGTGTGATTCCATATTTTACATGTAATATCCTTTAAAAAAAAAAATTACACACGTTTAGGGTTAAAACAGCCAATCTTCAGATAGGTGGGCACCCGCCTTTATTTTCATCTTTTTTTTGTTGTTGTTGTTGTTTTTTGTGCTGTTCTAATTTTGATTTCATTCTGTTGGGAAACCTTTCTTTCTCACGTTTTTACACTCTGTGTGGCAACAAATGACATTCTGGATACTTAAAATAGAGCACAAGAAATTCTGGTTCTTTAGATTAAGTTACATGTACCTCTATCAACATATTGTCATATTATATACGTCGTCACGTAGAGTTGAAAGCTTGAAAATTTAAGAGCAACTTTTGTGGCCACTTTCGCCATTTTTGTGGCAACTTTTGGACAAAAAAAAAATGCAACAAACGCAGTTGCTAGTTCAGTTTATTTGGCAATATGGCTTTATCGACTAAAAGCTCTATTCCTTTTCCGAAATAAGAATTGTTCCTAATGGGGCGGATTGGTCTGTTTGGTTGTTTGTTTGTTTGTTGTTGTTGTTTGTTTGTTTGTTTGTTTGTTGTTGTTGGTTGTTTTTTTTTGGGGGGGGGGTGATTCTCTGCTGTTTTGTTTCAACATTTTCTTGAAGTTTCCGTTGTCTATTTAGTTTTCTACATTTGTTTTGTTTGTTGTTTTTTTATGTAAGAATCTCAGCATCAAGACAAAGGCTGGAGTTCATTAATTGAGTGGTATAAGCCGCGTGCTGCATTCAAAATAGACGATAAGACAAGATTATGGAAATTGTAATACCGACAAAGATTCTCTACTGGTAGTAAAGAATCTTTGGTACCGGTACAAGGAGCTTAGAACTACTTTTAATCTCCTTTTACCGGTACCGGTATTGGACAGATTGGGAGTGCTCATTGTGATTTGCACTGATCCAGACGGCTGTACAATTATTCACCCGGTGGAAGATAAAAAGAAACCAATACCTAAGGACATAAGAAAGGGGGGGGGGAGGGGGAGAACACAAAGATAAATTGGCGTGAGAGCACTTTAGATTGCCACAGCGGTAACACGAAATCAATTTGCAGGAAATATAATGGAAAGAAGTTAGGCTAGCGGGGAGAAAATTGTGTGCTGCACAGAATTCTACACTTAAATAAGTGTAGAATTCTGTGGTGTGCTGTTACCGGCAAAGCGTCGAAGATCTTTAATATTAAAAGATTATATAGTTCCGCATTAGCAGCTCATAGGCCAATCGTGTTCAGGGTTCAGAATTTCGACCAATCATGTGGCAGATTTTCTTTGCTTCAAGTATTGTTTACAAATGGTGGGCTTGAGAACGATATTCAATCCTTCGAGAAGTGTACGTGCAAGTTAATGGTATATTTTAAACATTTTGTTTATATTGGAAGCCTGATATCTGATTATATGTTACTTTATTTATCTTAATAACTATATATAGTATAAGTGCAGTCGTGATATGCAATAATGACTAGATCTAGATCTATATATATTGGATTTCAAAACAATTTAATAGTACCCCTGTCTGTCAAGTTGGGACTTGTTCATTGTCATATGTGATTGTCGGTGATTGTACACTCGCACTCGCAAGTATAATATATCTCATTGTCATAGGTTGGGTTCCGAACAGGGCCCCCTAACAGAATTTATTAAGATTCATTTGGTCTCAAATTAAAGTCTGTAGTTTAGTGTGGCAACCGTTTCCCTTAGTTTAGTCTTTGTTTTATAGTCTTGAAATAGGCCTACTTCTCGACACCTGAGCCTGAGAAGTAAAAATGAAAAAGTACACTGAGTACATTGAGGCCTAGATCTACATCATGATTATATTTGTGGTTCAAGTCTAATGCATAGAGATCAGAACAAAGACAATTTTCATGTAACGAAGTGATTTTTCGGACTCGAGTCCGAATATGAAAAAATGTTATTCGGACTCTGATTCTTGTCCAGCATGACATCACTTCCGACTTCCTGTGACTCGTGAATCCGGCTTCCTGTCCTGCCTCACTCGTGACTCGCCTCAGGCTGGGTAGAGACTGGGATCACTTCGGGCAAAAAGGCGTTTTGTGCAGGAGCCGAGTTTTAATCTTATGATGAATTTGAGGCCGGCCTGAAAAGTTAGGGCACTTCTAATAAATGTTTATTTGTCAAGAGGTCATCAGAAGCAATTAAAGATGGCTCGTTAGCGTGTGTCGGGGTCGGATGGGCGGCCTGCACACGTGTGGCTGTGTGCGTGTCGGGGAGGGTGGTGGGAGGGGGGGGGGGGGCACTATCGGTCCGGGCTTTGAACGTCGCATACGCGTCAGTCTTTTTCCCCCCGGCAACTGATCATTATTACAATAATAAGCTAGTCTTGACGTAGATCTACGTAATGAATTGTGCGCTGGTCTATGGAATCAAAAGTTGCCGTATGCTCAGCTCTACACAGCAACACAATTTTTCTTGGTAAACAATCGATATGACACAGGCTTGTGTATTTGAACGAATCGGTCTTTTTTTTTTTACACAGCTCATAATATGCAGGTGCCAGGTGGTCTGCTAATCTTCAATTTTACCTTTTTCTACAACAAAGAAAGTGGGAAACATGGGGGGGGGGGGGGGGGGCGTATCAATGAGGCGGCGGGCTTTGGATCGGCAGATAAGGTGTGGGGGAAACTAAAAAATGGCGGAAAATTGGAAGCACTGAACGTTAGATCTATAGAACGAAGACACTTCCTTTTTTCCGGACCCGAGTCCGAATATCATTTTTTCATATTCGGACTCGAGTCCGAATAACGACGGCCTTCATGTAAATACATTAATAAATGCATGCCCAGCCCACTTGTGACTCATATTTTTAATACTTTTTTCCCCAATCTTTAAAGCATGGCTTACAATTTTATATTGTATCCATGATATTTTTAGAATTGTTATTTCAGCTCTCTCTCTCTCTCGCTCTCTCTCTCTCTCTCTCTCTCTCTCTCTCTCTCTCTCTCTCTCTCTCTCACTCTCTCTCTCTCTACTATGGCTGTCACATTTAAAAATTGATTTTTATGTCGCCGTCATCATATTTCCTCAGTGAATTTGCGTGACTTGGTTTCTGTGTGATAGCGCCAGTTGCAAAGTGAAAGATTTGGCAGTCAGAAACATGAGTATGGAGGATACTTCTGCAGACACTTTAAGCCCACCGGATCTGCCTCCAGATTCCCCGGGTAGTTCTGTGTCCTCTAGACTTCAGGTACACCCCTGTTTGTGTGTATGCATTGTGTGTGTGTTTGTTTGTGGGTCTTTGTGTGAATGTTTGAAGTATAATTATATATAATGATAAAATAATGATTTCATTTCTAATTTCTATAGCACACACTCCTGTACAATTTAATTCTAGGTGTGCAGTCGAACTTGTGTAAAACAGACACCCTTTGTCAAGGAGAAAAAAGGCCGTTTAAAGCTGGTGGCCATCTTAGGCAGAACTGATCAAAATGAAGAAAGCAAATCTTTCCCTTCTTAGGTCCAAACCGGGGCAGATCTCAGGCTTAGGACTGCTCTAAGGCGAATTTAAAAAGGCTTTTCTTTTCTTTTGAAAAAAGAGGGTGGAAAGGTTGTAAGAAGAGAGGTTTTGTTGTTGTTTTGTTGGTTTGCTTTTTTGTGGTAAAAGTTGCTTTTTTATGATTTTGTACAAGGGTAAAAATAACAAATGTAACACGATGAAGACCGAGGGCCATGGTAAAACAAACACTGGGTCGCCACCACTCAGAGATGGAGCGACGCTTCTGTCGCAAGTTCACGTCATCGTCCGTTGTTACTTGTAACAGGCAAGCAAAACAGTGACTAGTCACCTCACATACGATTTGTGTATGGACTTCTATGGGTTATGAAGGATCACATGCTTCCCTCCCCAGCTGTTGAAAATTCCCATTGGTCAACTTGGGTAAACTTTCATTGGAGGGACTAACGATAACAACAGGCGAATGGATTATGACGGCCCGTCCACAGAGCCAGGGGCCGATTTTAAATTTATGACAAAGCATCAGGCAGGTATAGACCACGCCTGGCCACCTCAGGCTGATAAATTTGGCAGTAGGCTGATAAAATAAGGTGGCCGCGTTGCACAGGTGATCGTTTTACACAGTTAACTTATATTGAAAAAACGCAAGGGGGGTAATGGAGAGTGGCCGTTCGTACAGGTGGCCGTATTATACGGGTGGTTCGACTGTATTTTACAATACCTTACATCTTAACACAAAATAATGTGTGTGAATAAATACTGTTTATTATGTGCATCTGCAATGTGTGTTGTTTGTGTAAATATCTGTGTGCTTGTTGTGTATTCGTTTTTGTGTGACACGACGACGTGTATGTGTGTTATGATGTGTTTCATGAGAATGTTGTCTCAAATTGAATGTGGTGTTTATCAATACTCAATACTGAGCCTTGATGATCTTGTTTAAATACTGTTTCAGGTCATTTTAGTTAATAAATATTTGTAATATTGTGTCATTTGTGTCAAGTTGGTCTTAATGTTGTCCTGAACCATGTCATTTTGAATGTGATGTAGTTTTAAGTTTTGCTCGAAGTGTAAGCGAAACTGATGTTTTGGATATTATGATATTATGAATGGGGAATTGTGTATTCATTATCTTTCTCAGGAAGAGTATTCAGAATTGTTAAAGCATGTGGTCAGTTCCTCTTTTGTGGATGGAGAGAAGGAGACAGCATTGGGGACTACCAACTCACTCCTTCTGACCTCTGCTAATAAGTCCCCTGACCAGACAAGTCCTAGACCTCTGCAAGGTAAGAGAAAAACCAGCTCATGTATTGTTATCATTGCTTTTGCTGGCAGTTCAGCACTGGCTATTCTAGTGCTGGTTGGTACAGTACAGTAGTCTCCACCTAAGATCCCACCGCTCACGATACGGGTTCGCTGTTTTAAGAAAACATAATTTTTACTATACAGATGTCCCCCCTAAGATCCCGCTCTGATTCACTCTGAAGGTCTACATTCGGCTAAGATCCCGCATTTCACTCTTCATATCATAATTTGCGGAACAAAAACCCGGGCCGGCACAGTCGATCAACCAAGAGTGAAAAGTTGAGATCAATAAACTGCATGTCGCGTCAAAGATCAGCCACTATCGTGAATGTGATCTCATACACGTTATAAAACTTGACGTAGCGATGCAATGTTTGCCACAGACGGTATCACACCGGGGCGTGAACTGACCGACGCGTTTGTTTTCCTCACGCATCGCACTCACACCTGAACTCTCCCCCTAAACTTACATCACACGCTGGGTGGGTAGGGCCTACATGTTCGCTCCAGATGGGATTACATCGAACTGTGAGCTCTTCCCTAACCATTGCAGCAGTTGTCCCTACTCCCAAATTTGCAAGACAGACTGAATTTTAATTGGTATGTGCACAATGTAATGGTGTGTAACGAAAAGGTGGTTGGGGGGTCCGGGGGGGGGGGGGGGGGGCAAGCTACAAATTTTCGACAGGGAAAGGGGAGGGGCAACTGGATTATAAGCGTAGATCTTGAGACTCATGATAGGATAATAAGTGGAAATGGCACGCCTCATGCAACTCTGCACTGTGATAGGTCATCAAGGTTAACCACTCTTTGTTCGCCATGTGTCATGATGATAAACCCACCCAAGGGTCACGTCAGTTCATTTTAGAGTGGAGGGAGATCATTTTACCAATTGTGAGCCTTAACATGGGTCACCGTAGATATTCTTCCCTGAGTTCGTCGGTTAAGATCCCGGTTTGCCTAAGATCCCGCATTTCCTTGCTTCCGAGCACCGGGATTTTAGGCGCAGACTACCGTATCTGTCTCATCTATCTTTGTAAACATTGTGTCACCCAGGAAAGTGTTTGTCAGTACAGAGCCTGTCAGCGTAGTTTTTGTCTATGTAGAGTCTATCAGTGAATTTTTTGTCAGTACACAGACTGTCAGTGTCATGTTACTCAGTACACAGTCTGTCAGTGTCATGTTAGTCAGTACACAGCCTGTCAGTGTGATTTTTGTTAGTCCAGAGTTTGTCAGTATAGTTTTTGTGAGAACAGAACCATTGAGTGTCATGTTTGTCTGGTGGAAAACATGTCTGTCTTGTGTTAGTCAGTTTAGTGTCAGTCACCCTTCCATTGGTTAGTACAGTACTCGTCACACATGGGGCTGCATTCTAACGAAACACAGTCATAGATTAACACAGTCTTACACGCTATTACACTTGGTCACTACTGCCTCAAGTCACACTCTATCAGTGAATCATACACAGTCAAAATGTAGAGAATAAAATCGGTTGTCTTACACAGGTGGACATCTTAGACAGAGTTATTATGTTATTTTAAAAATGCAAGTGGGAGGTGGTTGTTTATACAGGTGATTCTCTTGGACAAGTGACTGTTGGAGAAGGTTTGACCTTACTACCACATAGGGTCACAGACTTAATCACACAGTTGTATGCTAACAGTCAGGGTCGCAAGCCAACACCTCAAGGTAAGTATGCTTACATATATGGTCACACACTTACAAGAGTCATACGATAACATTCGGGATAAAAAGCCTACAACACATCAAGTCGTACATAAACTTTTTTTTCTGTCTGTCCAGATGAAGAGTTCTCTGACCAGACTCCGAGGGATACCAGAGATGAGAATGGCAGTACTGGTGACAGCACCGGGCTCAAACATGGGGCATTCAAGGCTCCTGCTGAGTTTTCTACACAAGCTCATAGTAGCCACAACCAGCAAACTATTTCAGGTTAGTGCCTGGTATTTGTGAAGTTATATGAAAACGTTTTAAAGTTTTCTGTTTGCACTTCATACTTTTAAGTTTACCACCACTTCTCATCTCGACTTCTCATCTCAACGTCTCATCTCCATGGTCTCTGTCACTTGTGATGTGGGCTCCACATAACCTGAGTTCCCTTTGACTTTGACCTCTGAAACATCTTCACATTCTTCACCTGTGACTTATAATTTGATATGTGACACTGACTTAAATTACCTAGAACCTTTGTAACTCTTGACCTAGATTACCCTTGACTTTTGTGACCTTAAATTCATGTCCTTTGACAAAGAAGTAAGTGGTCGATGGGTGCCCTGGTGTGATTTGCTCCTTCTTTAGTGTCAAACATCTATGGTCCATATCTCTCCAGGACACCTTCTTTTCTTTGTATGTAACCCTCTAGTAACACCTCTAATCTAGGCACCTATATAACATACTTGTGTAGCAAGTGCTGTAAAACTCTTACTAAATCTAAAATTTGATTGCCATGTGTCTGGGTCCGCAGAAGAAAAATATGAGAACCAACACATCTCCACGACTGAGCCAACCGTTGCTGCCATGGGCCAGAAATTGGATGTGTGGCTGGACACGCTGAAGGCTAACATTTTGGTCAGTGGTTTGTAGTGCTGTTTATTGTTTGAGTCAAATCACAAGAAACAAACAGGTTTGTGGTGGTTGCTCTTATTTGAGGTTTTTTCGAATAAAAAGAACAGAAAGTGTTTGCAATGTCTCCAACTGAAAGTAGATAAAAGTATTTGATATTTTCACTGTTGTCACTGTCATTATTGTTGCGTGATGGTTATTATTATTATTATTATTATTATTATTATTATTATTATTATTATTATTATTATTATTATTATTATAATTGTTAATATTATTATTGTTTTTTGTATTTGTATTATAATTTTTAATTTTTATTATCTTGTATGTCCATCCAATGACTGTTCGTATGTGTTTGTCTTTGTATGTAAGTGAGAGAGAGATTCAGAGAGAGAGAGAGAGAGAGAGAGAGAGAGAGAGAGAGAGAGAGAGAGAGAGAGAGAGAGAGAGAGAGAGAGAGTGAGGGAGAGAGAGTGAGAGAGAGAGAGAGAGAGAGAGAGAGAGAGAGAGAGACAGAGAGAAAGAGAGAGAGACAGAGAGAAAGAGAGAGAGAGAGAGAGTGAGATTGTGTTTATTATGTGTGTATGTATGTATTTATCATGGTGCTGCAAATTTCTCTTTGTGAAGATCAACTATTATTATTATTATTATCATATTGTTATTATTATTATTATGATTATTCATATTTTTATTCTTATATTATGCCGGAAAGCTCAAAGTTTTGTGGGAAATTCCTTTGGGTTTTCATACTGGAATGAGCTTTCAACTATCTCTTTTACGTTACGTGTGGCTGAGATTGTAGCTGCCGTATGTGATGATAGTCTAAAACTGTTGCTGCTGTTTGTGATGTTTTTCTCAGGCTGCTGCTGTGAGTGGTTGGCGGGTGCTCTAATGCGGTTTGTTCATTCTTTCCCATGAAACATCTATCGTCCTTATCTCTCCTCTCCTCCTTCTTTTATTTGTATGTTACTATCTAGTAACACCTCTATTCTTTAGCCCTTATATGACCTAAATGTATTGCAAGTGCCATATAACTCTCACTAAAATTGAAACCGATGTTGCAACTGTACATTACCTATTTTTTAAAATTTTCCCTCCAGGCGGAGTTGAGAGACTCATCGGTGCACTTGCTAGAGAGCCAGAGACAAAAGCAGGAGAAGGAGATGGAAGAGTAAGTCACTCTCACTTATAGCTCTTGGCTTCGCTACTCTTACTTCCCTTGTCCTAGTCTTGTTTTTCCCTCTATCTTATCGTTTGGCCAGTTGCACCAATGGATTGAGGCAAAGATAGTACATAACAAGATGGGCCACTTCTCTCTTTGAGCCAATTAAAAAAATGTCCTCAAAATTTGGCGGCGCCCTCTTCACAAAAGCGCACTCTTTGCGAACAGAGTTACCCTACTTGAGTTTTTAAAAATCAAAGTGAAACTAGCAAGTTTTGGGATAAATTTCGGAAGAACGCTTTTTTAAAATGGTTACGCTGACAAAAAATCTCTTCCGGAGGAAAGGGTGATGGTTTTCTTCGTTTAATTTGACTTTAGAATGAAAGGCGAGAGGTCATTAAAATTTTTAAAAAACTAAAACTCCGCACTGAACGTACCCGAACTGCTGATGAACAGCAGTCGATGATCTGCGCACGCAAGGAGGTGCTATTCCTATTCTTCTTCTGGAAAAACGAAAGAGAGTTTCAAAACAGACTGCAGCGCCATCTGAAGCAAAGAGCATACTTCCTGCGGACACTTTTTTGGCTGAGTGGCCCATCTTGTTATTTACTATCTTTGATTGAGGGGTGAAAGGAGTGAGGGAAGTGGGTTTTCTTCTTTTTGTTTTTTTTGTTCTGTGTTTGCTCACACAATAACACATATGCACGTATGCGCTCAAGCACATGCATCTCTCACTGTCTCATGTCCTTTCACTCTCTATTCCTAATTCTCTTGTTTTTTCCCCTCTTTCTTGTTAAGTCTTTTAATGATGTCTAATGCAGTTTGAGTTTTCCCAGTGTGATTTTATCACTGGTCACTTACAGAGTGAAAATGCAGGGGAATGGAGCATGCACTGATGTTCCTGGAAAAGTGCAAACTTCAGTTGTTATTATATTTTTTTGGGTCATAAAAAAATTTTTACACTTCAACCCTGCCTGTCAGGGCCAACCTGGGCTGATAAAGGTACCACGTAACCACAAGACTGATATACTCGATAAAAATTCTTCCCACACAGCGCCTAACCGTTTCACCACAGATGCTGATTAGGCTTCAAATTGCAAGCAATTTTAGCAGTTTTGCTACCTCGGGATTACTAAGTTCTATCTGCTCTGTACCTAATTTTGAGAGATCTGTGTAAAAAAGTTTTTAGTTTCACAATATTTGGAGCTTTTTTCGAATGCAATTCTTTTAATATCTTGATAATGACTCAGAACAAGCTGACGATTTTGATAGAGCAGATAAAGCATTTGATTTCTAATGTCATGGTGTTATTTACTCAAAACAGCCAAAAATGTCGGGTAGAACTTTGTAATTCTGAGGTCGCGATTTGTATCATAAGTTAAGAAAGTGGGTTTTTCTCCTCCGCAGCCTGATCTCGGAGAAGCAGCGACTGGAGAGAGAACTGAATCGCGCGTGTGCCCTGGTGGCCACCTGTGAGCAGAGCATGGCTCGTAAAGACTCCCTGCTGGAGAACCTCAGCCAGGCCCTGGCCAAGCAGCGGGACAAGACGGCTCAGGCTGGCTGCTTCTTCCGCTGGAGAGTAGAACATTTAGATGGGGAACGAGAGGTTAGTTGGGTGCGAAGAGTGGTCAGTTAGTTAGAGAAGTGAGAGAGAGAGAGAGAGAGAGAGAGAGAGAGAGAGAGAGAGAGAGAGAGAGACACAGACAGACAGACAGACAGACAGACAGACAGACAGACAGACAGAGAGAGAGAGAGAGAGAAAGAAAAAGAAAGAAAGAAAGGGCGGAGAGAAAGAGGGAGAGAGAGTGAGAGAGGGGGGAGGGCAGGTAGAGAGAAAGAGAGGGGAAAGGAAGCTCGTAAGGTAAAAGGGAGGTTAGTCAGTGAGACAGAAAAAGAGGTCAATAAAGATGACCTCCCTGAGTATTCTCAAAAGTTCTCAAAAAGTTTAGTGTTTGTATAGTCAGAAGTTCACAGAAAAATTACCTGTTTGTGTTGTCAGAAATTCACGGAGAAGATTGCTTCCCTTCACCATGAACGTCAACTCAGGCAGCGTGTGCTCAAGGCCTGGTTTGGCCAGGTACAAACTCGCTGGCGAACGCGAGTGCAAAAGCAGTGCCAAGAACAGGCGCAAGCTGTGTGCAGACAATTGACCAGCGACTATGAAGCGAAAATATCTGAGGTAAAGCTCCTCTTTTTCAATTGTTTTCTTTTTGTCCCTTTTCTTGAATGGCTAAAGGCAAGCCGTTTCAACATCTAGTCACTTTTCATTAAATCTTAAAAAGCAGGAATAAATAGTTTCAATGTGATCTCAGTTTGCACAAAAATTCAGAGGTATGGTAAGTGTTTTCAGTGTGGTGCCAATTTGCAGAAAAAAACAAAGATAATAAAGGCAAAAAGAGATAAATGGTTTTAATATCATAAATGGCAAATTACACAAAAGATTCCCAAAGATTAGTCGTTTCAGTGTGTATGCAGTTTGCTAAAAAAAAAAATCCAACTTGAGTGATTTCAACTTAATGGATTTTCTATAGTTTTCTCCTTTTAAGATTGTTTTCAGTGCAATATCAGCTATCGTGGAAGAGAAAAGGTCTTAGTTGTCACCAAAAAAATAGGACTTCATTGTTAACATTTTAACCGAAAGCCTATCCTAGGGTTGACTTCAAAGGCAGGGGGACGAAAGCCCGTCTCTTCTTTAATCTTTAATCCCTGTAGAATCGTGTTCTGTGCCATGTGGGATGAAAGACCAACATCTATCTCTTCCTTTTCATAACAGTATTCTAAACTGTACTGCTGATTGTAAATATTGTGTTGCGAGAAATCAACTTACATCTCTACTGTAGATTGTGGCACATTGTGATAGACACCAGTGTCCATTTCTATTGTAGGTTGTAACATGTCGTGTCAAAAGAAAGCAACAAAAAACAAGAAACCGAAGAAACCTCTAGGGCCTAGATTGTGACTCATTGTGATGGACACCAATGTCTGTCTCCTCTGTTGATCGTAATGTGTTGTTTTTGTTTGACACCAACGTCCATTTCTCCCTTTATATGTCAGCAGGCAGTACTTGAAGAAGCCCATGTGAGCTGCTGACTTGTAAGAACAATCAAGAAAAGACATATGTAGTTTTCTGGGAAGTGGGTGGTTGGTGGGTGCTCTGGTGTGGATTGCTTCTTCTTTCCTATCAAACATCTATCGTCTTTATCTCCCTTCCTTCTTTTTTGTGTGTGATACTTTCTTATAACACCTCTAACCTTCAGCACTTATGTGACCTTATTGTGTTGTAAGTGCCTTTTAACAATTACTAAAGCTAAAAAGTTTCTGGGACACTTGAATAGGCATAATAGCTTAAAGAGGTGGATGTCAGGAAAAGAGCAGGATTATGTAGCTTTTTTAAGAGGATCCAAGCCTAAAAAAATCAATGGAGAACCATGATCGCCGATGTTAGTTGCAGATCTGACACTTGATAATGATGATGATGATATCAACAGCACTGTTGCTATGTGTCCCCCAGCTCAATTCTACAGTGAGTCAACTACAGGCACAGGTTCAAAGCTTGCAGCAGGAGCGAGAGGCATATGCTGAGTCTGTCAAAAAGGCTTTCATGCGAGGTGTCTGCGCTCTCAATATGGAAGCTATGTCAGCTTTCTCTCCGGATGATGCTGGAGCAGCTGTTGCTGGTGAGGAAAAAAATACTCTTTTTTCTCCCTATAAGTGAATTAGTCTCATATTTCCTCTGTTTGTTCTTGCTATTCAAGCTATGAAAGAATAACAATATTTTTATCTCTAATTCTTCACAGTCCCCATCATGGGTGATTTTATTCTCCTTTCTGTCTATCCGCAATCCAAGCTATTAATGAATTAACTCAGGTTCTACTCTCTGTTTATCCATAATCCATACTATAAGATAAGATAAGATAAATCTTATCCTGGCACATTGGCTTGGTGTTTCACCACGTGTACACACACGCACACACATATGCATACACACGTAAGCTTACAATCACATGCATAATATAAATGAGCAGTAATATAAACAATAATAATCTTAAGCTAGATACTCACTCAATGTTATTTTGATGCATGCTCTAAGGTCGTAAGTATACTTATACAAGATGGTTAAGATGGAAGCATTTTGATAGATGATGGTAAAAATGACCTTCTATATCTTTCTTTGTTACAGATCAGAAGCCTAGGTATTTTACTTCTGACTGATGTTTTTATTTGAGGGAACAAAGGATGTTTGTTGTCTAAAAAGACGAAATAAATTTTTTGTAGTGCAAGTAGGGGAGTGTAGATGTTGAAATTTTACATGCTTTCCGTATTAGTCTATTTAATTTTTCTTTATCTTGTTGTCTTGTGTTCCCCGACCCATGCTGTTATACAAAAATTGATCGTACTATGGATGAATAATATCACATTCTACTCTCTGTCTATCCGTAATCCAGGGTTTTGAATGAATAATCTCATGCTCTACTCTCTGTCTCTCCCTGGTACAGGTGGCAGGGAAGTCCCGGGCTCTGGGTTTGATTCAATGCCTCTTGGGGCCACAAGGCGTGAGTACAAAGACGAACTGTCTGGAAACTTGGAGTACGGCTACCCAGAGAAAAACATGCCATCCGGAAAGTTTTCCACACTGGGTAGCTCACATGCATCAGATGTGGTCAGCGACCGACTTGAAAGTCAGTCACTGCCGATTGTCACAGGTGGTGCCACCTCACAGCAGGTAAGTACTTGGTGAATAATCTAATGATCCTGATCAATTTTGTGACCAAATTTAGTCATTGTTAGGAGTTTTCTTTCAGGCTCTATTTGATCTAATTGTACACTGGTAAGTTTTTATTATAAACTGTAACAAGTAACAAGAGTTTAGTTGTCTGTTCTAGTAAAAATTTGCTGAAGTTTTTGTGAGAGATTTGTGTGTGGAGTTATGCAGTAGTTTTTTGTGGGCTTGCATGTTTATGTGTACTTATGACATATCAGCATGGTGAAATGAACGCTCATCAAAATAATGTAATCAAGGAAACTGGAGTTTTTCTAGCTGTTGGACAATTTTTTCAGAATGTTCTTTTTTTTGGTACAATACTTTCTATCCATTTAGGAACACACTTCAGTGTGGATTTTACTTTAAAATGTTGATCAAAGGCACAAAATAACTAAATTTGCAGTATCAAAGGACACTGCGTCGGGACATATATGTGTTTGTAAAATTAACTGACTGAAGATTGTAGATTTTACTATGTACAAGCACCAAAGACTTAAGGTTTGGAGGTTTTTTTTCAAAATTATATAAAATCTGAACAATTTAATCAACTGCAATGCCCATTTTACACAACCAAGAACAACACAAGAGCAATAAACATGCTGAAGTACAAGTGTCTATCTCTCCTTGATTATTTGTCATGATGTTTTTTTTTAAGGTATAAAATTCAATGTTCAACAAATTTACGAATAAGAAAATAAGAGACGCCTTATGTGTCATGGCGCAGTGGAATCAGGCGGCGCTCATCAATTTTTGGGCATGTGGAGTTTTTGGTATAGCTTTAAAGCTTGTTCGTTTGCCTTGCTATTGATGAAAGAAGAACCCATTTATCCTGAGTACATGTCGAGATATTTTCGATTGAATGAGGCTGAGGTCGCCTGGTTTCAGGGGTAAAATTAATGGAAAAAATCGCCGCCAAACTATGGTTCTCTACAAAGGCTCAGAGTCTGTGGAAACTTGACAATTTACATTTTTGTTCCTTTAATCAACGTTTTTCAATATAATTCACACTGAAATGGCTTCTTAAATGGACATAGAAGGTGTTTAGCTCGAAACAAAATTTCAATAAAAATTCCCAAACCAGTTTCTTCACTTTCATTATTTTGACGAGCGCCTGATTTCACCAAGCTGCCTCTCATATAAACAATCACTGCAATTTACAACACAAGCAGTCTTAGCAGTCACCTAACTAAAAATTATCTGGACCAAAAAGTGATCGACCTATTTCTGGCAAATTTTTTGTGGAACGAAACAAATGGCTACGCATGTCTAAACTAGATCCTTTATTTTTTTAGCAGCATTTTTATAGATGCTATTGTTGATAATGATGGACCCACATTTTCCACGTCAACTGTTTTAAAAGGAAACGTCTTCTGTGCGTTAAACAACAGCTTTCTAGGACATGTGATTTAAAAGTTTTTGAACATAACAGATTGAATTGTCCATATGTTGGTATCATGAAACTAACTTTGTTTTATTTTTTTTTCCATGGCAGCCTCATGTCAAAGGTCGTGTGCGGAAAGATAAGGTTAAGACTAAGAAACCAGTGACTGGTGGTCCAAGCTCATTGGTCACGACCTCAATGCCATTCTCAGTACAAGGCCAAGGTCACAGCCTTGCCCCACCAATGGCTTCTGTTGTCGTAGAAAGACACCAGCCCATTACTAAGGTAAACTGAATACTATACTTTCATAGAAACAGAACAGTGCTTTAGTAAACTAGCAAACATACCATATAGTACAGCCCTTTCTTTTCTCTCTCTCTCTCTCTCTCTCTCTCTCTCTCTCTCTCTCTCTCTCTCTCT